AGTGAACTGGCAGAACTGTGGGGTGCCAGGGGTTGGGGTCCATTGACAGCTGTGGGGTACAAGGGGTTGGGGTGCAGAGGAGTTGGTGCATTGGCAGAGCTGGAGGGTGCCATGTCTCCCTCACCTGAACCCCAACCTTGCTCTTCTCCCATACCACCCATACTTATTTGTTTCCCCCTTCCCTCCCCCCCCCCCATGCTTCCCAGGAAGCATTCACATGTCTGATTTTCCACAAAGACTTTAATTACACTTCCCCAAAATAAAATTGCTAGGACTCACAAATTGCAGCAACCTCCAGCCACTCATTTCAAAACTCTTTTTGTTTTAGTTGTGGGTTTTTGATTAACTTATCAAAATTAACTTAGTTATATTAACTGAAGGGTGAGTTCAGTCATCTGTCTCAACGAGGCCGGTGATTAATCTAATGATTAGTACCTCTCAGTTTACTAGTACAAGGCAGCAGAAGGAAACAGGATTTTTTGGCGGGCCATCTGTAACGGGAACCTCTTGGTCAAATTACCTCATATTTCAGTCATTAGCGCTACCCCACTTCCTCATGAGGCAGACCAAATTTAAAAGCAATCAAAATAATTATTTGGATTTTAGAGCACTCTCAAGAGTTGAGCTTTAAAGCATATAAACTGGTGGGAATGAAAACCCTCTACCTCCGTGGTTCTCAAATTGTGGGTCAGAAACCCAAAGTGGGTCGCAAGCCCATTTTAATGGGGTCTCTAGGGCTGGCATTAGACTTGCCCTGGGGCTGAAGATGAAGCTAAGGCCCCCCTCCCTTTCCCAGGGCTACCTAGGGCTGAAGATGGGGCTTGGGCTCAGGTTTCGGTCCCCCCTCTTTTGTCTTCAAAGGGGATTGTGATACAATGAAGTTTGAGAACCGCTGCATAGCTGTTTTTTCTGTACTGGTATATGCACACTGCAAAAACCACACATTTTCTTAAATACTGTTCTCAGTTTGGGTCATCCACGATTTAGTGGGGTTCCATGAACCTGGGGTAACACCTGACAGATTGTGCCACTGTTTTGACCTGCATCGTAGTCATAGTTTGATCTCTAGCTCTGGCTGGGGGCGGGGGAGAAACTTTTTGAAAAATGGCTGTTTTTTCAGGGCTTATCTCTGGAACCCCTGGCTCAAATGACCCTCCCCCCCCTGCTGAGGTGCACAGAAATCTTCAATTACTTCAAAGAAATCTAAGCATGTAGTTTTTAGAGGATTTAGGAAGGTCAACCTTTAAATTTGTGACACAGCCTTAACTATCATGCTGCTGTTGCCTACTATATTATCTACATCAGTGGTCTCCAAACTTTTTTGATTGCACACCCCTATCAGTAAAAAATTTTTGAGCACGCAGCCCCTGCCACGCCGAAGCGCAAAAAAAAAAAAAGCCGCCCAGCCCCCCGCCGAACGAAGAAAAAAAAAAAAAGTGCTCCTCCTGCCGCGCACCCCCAAGGATCCTCTTGCGCACCCCACTTTGGAGACCACTGATCTACATCACCCTGAAGAAAAGGGCAATTTGTGGGAGAGAATATGACTTGAGTATTTACTCATAGATTATTCTCTGTAAGGAGGATACCCTGTATTCTTCATGCAAAAACAAAAGGTTGTTTAAATTGAAAAATTCAATGCAACCTTAACTATGGAGCTGTTATGGAATTTCCATAATCATCTTGCAGGTCTTAATTTTTTTTTAAACGCTTTTGCCTTGGCGTAGTATCCTAGGGCTACTCATTCCTGTCTCCCAGCCCAACTGTTCTGTAGCTGATGGAAAAGACTTGGAATTCTGTGATGTCATAGTTGAGAAGTCTAGACCATGTCAGCCTTTGTTCAGTCTTTAAGCTCTGACTCTGGATTGCTTCAGATGCAAAACAATACATCATTCAATTCTAGTCCACACTCAGGTCGTACTGGTCAGGGAAAAGGAGAAAATACACTTGGTCGTTATCCAGCTTCTTTATGATCACAACAGCTAGTTGGTCCTGAAGCTTCTGAGCCCTCTTTCTATTCTGTGATTTTTTTTTTAACTGAGATTCTTTAATTTATAAATTAACTAAATTACTGATCTTTGAATATTAATCCAATTTATTTTCTCAACTTTCCATTTCAGGTTCTTACTCTTGTTTTCAGTCCAATAACTTCAGTCTTTCTGTCCTTTCCAGTTACTGTCTTATCTAGACCTCTGTACAGCTGCAATAAGAAGACAAAAGATGTTTTCTTTCCTCCATTAACACCTCTTTTTCCACCTTCGGTTTTGCAGTAGCTGTTTGCCTGACTTTTGATAGGAATCAACAGCTCCCTAGACTTCAGGATAAGCTTTCAGAGAGACAATTGGCTGTCCCAGCTACAAAGGCTAAGTGGTAGCCCTTTTGTCTAAGCATGGACTGGACCAGCAGTGATGAAAGTTACTCACCACCCAGTACAAGGAAGGTACAGCATGTACCTCACTAGGAGTTGCAGTTGGCTCTTTTACAATGTTTCCTGTTTAAAATGTTTTCTCCTGTCATTTTTTAGATGTGAATTTAGTGCTTGGGAAAGGTGCTGGCTTGACATCCCTGGAGTTTAAAGTCTTCCATTTATCTACTGAACAAGTTTCCCATAGGCAGTTTCATCACAATGCTTTTCTAACAAACTTCAACTCTTGCATGGAGACCAAGTTTTCATAGTTCTAGGATTAATGTGCACCAGTGTGGGGTCCCACGCACATATATACATTTCAGATAGCATTAGATTCCTTTTAACAGGCAATCTGAAAACTTCAAAGTGTTATTTCGGGTTGTGTTCCATTACGCCTTGCCTTTTGGATTCCCTGGCTCATCTCTCCTCAAATGCTTGAAACAGAGTAACTATTTCTTTCCCTTCATCTGATGCAATGAAAGTACTTGAATACTTATGACTTAATAGACCAAGGATTCACATGTCCAGTTGTGTATTTAGAGTTTAAATCTAAGTTTTATTTTGTTCTGAACAGGCTTCTAATATGAAATAAACAGTGCTCCCTTCCCTCTCATTATCCCAAATGTAGGGAATCTCCATACTTGCACATTTTAGACTCAGTCATTCCTAAGTGTTTCAGAAACAAACTTTTTGTGAATGAACTTTGTATTGAAATTTGAGACTTGAAAATGGACAGCTGGCTATTTGAAAGGCTAAATAGAGTAAGAGGTTGCTTTCAGAAAATTGTCCTCTAATTCAGATTGGCAGCAAGAAGGCTGTATTGGTACATGGGCATTTTGCTACAAAGCAACTCTTGTCAACCAGGGTTGTTTCAGTGCATAGAGAAATAGATCTCTTTTAAATTTACTTTTGGGTTGGTAGGAGATAACTACTGAACAGTTCCCAGTGGTGATTCACTGGATTGCAATAGTAATGACAAGTGATAAGTTGTAACAGCACAGCAGACTTCCCTTACAGATGGCCACTTGCCAGTCTTTGGCTGGATCAGTCAGTGTCCTCTTCCAGTTCCCTTTCAACTAGCGGGCAACAGATAAAAAGAAAAAATCTTTGAATCTTTTAAGACATGACACAAAACAAATCATATTATGATGAGTGAGCACATTGTCCAGCCATGAATAAGGCCTCAGGTTTTATAAGCAACTCTCCAGTCTGGTGGCACTTGGGTGCTCTGCTGAGATATCTTGATCTTTTGGAGTTTGTAGGAGAGGGGAAAGCAGTGACTGAATTCTTCTTGAGCAATCTTAGTCCATTGACTCATGGAACAGATTTAAGTCTAGTTTAGTCTGAAGACGTTGCATGATTCCCTTCATGGATTGGGGGTAAGTGCCTAAATAGCAGTTGGCACAGAAGGAGTTGTCCAGTTATAGGTGTTGAATATTGAAGAGTTGAGCTCCTCCCAATTTTAAATTCCTGTGGTCCATCTTTCAGCCAAATAGAGCATTAAAAAAAAAAAAAAAACCCGTCCGGCCGGGGAGGGCTCGTGTCTGCCAATAGAGTGTGTGTGTGGGGGGGGGAGATTTTGGGCAACCGGCTTCAGCAGTGTTACTGAGTATGCTCAGTCTATATGGCTTGTACTGAGCATGCTCACACAGAAAATGGGGTGGGGGGAGAACGTGACCCCTCTTCCCTGGCGTGTTCCCGCCCCCTGCAACAAATTTACTACATGTAGTTGAGCTTCTTCTGGAGGATTCACTTGCAGGGTCTTTCAGCCCTTAAAGTAACTGACAAAAGCAGGGGTCTCAAACTCAATTTACCTTCGGGCCAGTGCCAGTCCTCAAATCCTCCCAGCGGGCCAATAATGTCACTGAAGATGGTGTTCAGAAAAGAAAACGTTTATATTGTATTTTTTATTTTTAATTTCTTAGAAATAATAAAACTGTCATACAACTTTATACAATTCTTCGCCTGCCAGAGAGTTTTTAGTATTTTCCAGACACCTGGCAGCGCTTCAGTTCTGTCAGTTTGTTGATGTTTGGCCTCAATGACTGAGCAGTTGAAACTTTCAGGATTGCAGCAAGGTGTGCATCAGATAGGTGTGTTCGGTATTTTGACTCATTTATATTCATTGTGAAAAAAAGTGATGCTGCCTCCATGGGTGACTCTGCCCAGCAACTAATGATGCTGCCTCCATGGCTGACTGCGTGGCGACTAGTGATGCTACTCTGTCCCTCTCCCCCAGCCAACAGGAGCTGCGGGGGGTGGCGCCTGCAGCAGACATTGCTGGCAACGTGTCTGCATGTGTCTCTCTTCCACAGGCTGTAGTGGGGAGGTTCTTGGGCCGCAGACGGCCCGCGGGCCGGGACTTTGAGACCCCTAGACAAAAGTATAACTCTGTAAATAGTTCTTGAATGAACCAGGTTGTGAGAAATTGATTTTTATTGAAGGAAATGAAAGGAAATGGTGAAGACAGTAAAAACCTATAGAAATATCTGTGCACATCACTGATTTTTTTTTTTTTGTCTGAGTGAAACACTATCCTAATGTGTCCAGGTATCTATCAGCAATACTTACTTATTCTTTATTTTGTAAATTTCAGTCTGAATCCAAGCTTTACAATGGCTCTGATAAGGACATCTCCTCTACTTCAAGCAAGCTCACAAAAAAGGAGTCTCTTAAGGTGTGTCACTTTCCAAAATAATTTAACAGATTGTAATTTGACTTTCCAGTCAGCCCTCAGAAGCTAAATAGGGATAAGACCTCTCAGGTAGAGCCCTGCCCGGGACTATTTTTTTTAATCCAGCTCCCATCCTGCCCCGCAATACCTACTCCCTCATTGTTTCTTGCATTTTTTATTCTGCTCCCAATTGATTAATATATTGTATATTGTATATATAAATAATATTCAGGCACAATTTTTACCACTAAAAGAATAAAACAAATATTGCTTAAACTATGTAAAAAAAATACTTTTAACTCCTGTCATAATAGACATCAAATCTCTTTCTATCCCTTGCTAAAATTTAAGTATTAAAAGCTTTATTTAAAAAAAAAGAAAAACATGCTCTACATTGTTGAATTTCTATTTGACAAACTGATGAGAGATTTAGTTTTCCTGCAAATTACTGCAGTCTGGTTTTGTTTATGTCCATCCAATCCTGCCCAAAACAAAATACAGTTTACCTGCTCCCGCTATTATGGCAGCGGGTCCTCTGGGACCCGTGGGATCCCAGTCCCGCTGCTGTGCTGCACTCTAAGGAATATCTAGGACCATTGCCTCATTATGATGCTAAGGTGACTTTGTGTTTCTGTGGTGCAGTCTTTAGGATCACATGTAAAATGGGAAGAGTGCCACTTGTTGAATCACCAACACTGTCTTGTGGAACCTATGTTTTCCTTGTTGGTGTTTCCTCCATATATTGACAAGATCAGACCCTACAAAGTTTAAAATCACTGCCAAAGGTGTTTAGCACAGAATTTTTCAGCTTGGAGTCGAAACCAAAAAATCTTTTTTAAGTAAATAAATAAATAAATAAAAATCTGGTTTGATTTGAATCCAGAACAATTTTTTTCCTAACTTTTCAACAGATTTGTTTTGAATCAACCAAAACATTGTCAACTTGAAAATAATTTTTTTCTCTTTTTTTTTTATTTGTTTTGAGTTTTTGTTTCAATTTGGTTGTGTGGGTGTTTCACCCTTTTTTTTTTTTTTTTAATAAATTGGCCAGATTTTGAAATTGAACTGTCCATTTTGAAATGAAAAGTCAAAACAAAGTAGTCCAAGATGAAACATTTCAAAATGGTCAAAAAGAAACATTTCAACTCTTGAACAATTTTTTTCAGCTGAAACTGTTTGCCAAATTTCAAATTGTTTTTGGGTCCTGAAAAATGCAATGATGAAAAAGCAATTCATTGAAGAAACTTTACCCAACTCTTGAGGTGTTATAGCCACAGACCTTAAAGTGGTCGGCCACCGTGAGAGGAAAATGGCATCACTGAATTTCTACTGCAAAAAATAGATAAATAAAAAGTAAATACTTTGATGTCCCTCTTTCATTATTTTTCAATGTAATGGACATTTAAACATGCATACCTCTCCTAAACCCAAAATCTGCACAATTGTGCCAGTGTATGAGAACTTGAAATTGACTACTAATTGATTATAAATAAAAGTGAAACTAACTGGTCTACTTGTCTTTCTGATAAGGAGCAATGGAATAAACAATAAAATAGTTAAAAATAAGTGACTTCAGTTATTTTAAAAAAAAAAATTAAGGTGATGTTTGTAACATTTTTTAATTTGACATTAGAAGTGACTTGTCTTGAAACTGAGCAGGGAAAAGTCTTGTGTGTTCAAGACAAACATTCTTCCACATTTTAAAGCTGCTTCTTTGTCTATATTGTTACAGGTTGAGCTTTGCACCTTACAATTTTCCTGAGTTTTTGTTAGTTGCAATGTTTTTTTTATTGCTCTGACTTGCTTTTTCCCTGTGATTTAAAATAGTTTTACCATCTTCTATATTTGTTAATTACAGGTTCAAAAGAAAAATTACAGGGAAGAGAAGAAGAGAGCTACGAAAGAATTGCTTAGCACAATCACAGACCCATCAGTTATTGTTATGGCCGACTGGCTGAAGGTCAGAGCTTGAGTGTGAAACCTGAGTTGAAGTTGTAGCAGCTGCCTGGTGTTTACCTACCAAAATAGAAAAGGCTCAGAATCTTGGTGGATTGCTGATTAATGTTTTTCAACTAGCAGAGCATCTATTAATTGCAACCCAGAGGCTCCATGCTTGAATCCTAGGGGATAACTGAGGAACCTGGCTGTTACTTACTGCAGTCACCATAGTGACATTGATCTAATATGTACAGCAACTAATTTAAAAAACTAGTTGGGGTTATGGGGTTTTTTTTGTACTTGTTGATTTTATACTTGATCATAGAGAATTCCTTAATTTCTGTTAGGAGTCACAAAAGGAAGGTCAGTAATCTTCTTAGGTATTTTAACACAGGTTCCTTCTTGCACATCTCTTCCTCTTTTTTTCCTCTTTCCTCCCATATGAAATAGCTATAATCCTAGAAGCTTATTTCCATAGAAGGGATGAGACGTTCATCTGTCCCAAACAGTGGGCAGTACCACCAGCAACAGGGCATTGCAAAAGCAGTGTGGGTACTTTCACAGAGATTGAAGTAAATGGCTTATGTATAAGAGGTAATATTTACCCTGCTCATGGAAAAGCCTTACTAAATAGAAGGATTAAATCAATACTACGGAGGTCAACAAATTGGTGTTTGGTCAGCCTGATAGGGAGGTATAAGTTCTAGAGTGGCCAGAACTTAATCACAAACATCCAGACCCCAGACTTTCAAATCCAAGGAACCCAAGAACTCTTGGTGGTGCACAAGAGGAGGTGCTCTCTTAGATAGCCAGTGACCCAAGCCAGATCTGGAATTTTTATATATCTATACATTGGTTGTTAACACCTTGATTTCTATTCAAAGTCAAGTATTAAGCACTCTGAGACCTGTTATGACCTACCATCACTAACAAAGAAAAACCTATTGCTGGCCAGTGCCAGCTGACTTGGGCAGGGGCTGCAGGGCTGTTTCGTTGCTGTGTAGACTTCTGGGTTCAGGCTGTAGCCCAGGCTCTAGGACCCTCTGAGGTGGAAGAGTCCCAGAGCTTGGCCTCCATCCTGAGCCCAGAAGTCTACACAGCAACGAAACAGCCCTGCAGCCCGAGCCCCGTGAGCCTGAGCCGGCTGGCGTGGACCAGCCGTGAGTTTTTCTTTGCTGGGTAGATACACCTTAAGTAGGCAATTGCATTCTGCAGCAACTGTATCTTCTGAGTTGCATTCATAGCAATTCCATTCAGAGTCTATTATAGTAAACCCATATGTCATGAATAATATTGCTAATGGTAAAATACGCTCTGGCCGTGGACACTCCTGGGGAATCCAGAAGGAATCAGGGATCCAGAAGTACTTCCAGATTTTGAACCAATGTGTACATCACTTGCATAACAAGGGTAATATTCACCATCCCTGGAAGGAGGAATCTGCATCTAAACATGTTTCTGCCACAAGGAAGTACAGAACACTGTTGTAGAATCAACAGACTTACTTTATTTTGGGTAAAACTGTCAATTGACTTGGATTCAATTTTCCTTTCAGCAGGAGGGGGATGACTTTGATATTTATTTTTGACTTTATGATATTTATTTTAATTGTGATGAACTAAACCCAATTGTTAATATTTTGTAGATTCGTGGTACATTGAAAAGCTGGACCAAACTGTGGTGTGTGCTGAAACCAGGAGTATTGCTCATTTACAAAACCCCCAAAAATGGCCAGTGGGTGGGAACAGTGCTCCTGAATGCTTGTGAACTCATTGAGCGGCCTTCCAAAAAAGATGGCTTTTGTTTCAAACTTTTCCATCCCTTGGAGCAGTCCATCTGGGCTGTTAAGGTTAGTGAACATCCATTCTTTAAGAAGACATTGCAGAATGTGTCTATGTTCCCAGTCTTACACGTAAGAGGCACTACGCTTTTCTATATAGTCATCAGTGTTATGTTTTCTGGCTATTCTTAATTTAATTCTGTGTTAGTATGGTGTCTACTGCTGTACTTTTCATCCAAAAGAGTAACTATGTGACCTCTATGATTTATACTGGGTAGATCACATGTTGGTTACATGAATAGATTAATCTTTTGGGGAGCCTTTAGAAATACATAGGATGCTATAATCTTTGCTGAAGAGCATACAGTGTGTTTCATGTAATGTGTCTTGCTGAAAAGTCTTTCATTCAATATTTATAAATAGCTATTTCATTTCTTTAGATTTGATACTTGAGTAAATTAATAACTTCATACAAAAGCACTTGTTTTAATTGCTTTTGTACACAGCAATAATGATGGAGACCCTGTAGGCATTTGAAGCTTATATATGATTCTGTATTTTGAAACATAGTGGTGGTGATTATTTGAACAGTAGAATCCCTCCCTTAACAAGCGCTCCACATTTACCAAACAACTTGGACTCGGGGGCCAGAAGCGGGCAATCTCTCCTGTGGACACTAGATGGCGGTGCATCATCACATTTTTCCCATTCTCTGGTTTATCCAGAGTTTTTTGATGATCTGATCTGGCCCTGATCCCAATTAGACTGAATAAACAGGGTTCTACTGTATTGCTTACCTCCTAACAGCCCTACTAATGGATGAGGAATTTATTATATTCTCTGCATTCTGCATCTGACACACACATGCAAAGTACTTCTGCAGCTGTTTCATGTCATGTCTCATTGGTGATGGAGAATGGTAACTTTCTTCTTCATTAAGTTCAGGCAGTTAAAGTAACATTTATTCTGAGGAACTGTTGTCTGTTTGGAATCTTATCTCTTCTTAGTATGAAATACTCAAAATATTAGGGTTTTTTATAATTGGTTGTAGATTTACTATAGTCTAAAACCACTTACCCTACCAATTTCTCATTGTTTGTTTGCTGCACACTGCTTTCCCTCATTCCTTTCCTAGCTATATGTATTTTGTGGTTAATGTGACTTAAAAGTTCAATACTTTATATGCACCTACATCAAGAAGGTTGTTAACAGCTGTTTGACTAGGGTGACCTAGCTCTGCAGAAGTTGACAAATCAGTCTTAGGCTGAGATCTGCATAAATCAAGGCTATATTTCCTAATTGCTTGAACGTTATTAAAGGTAGGTCAAATTTTAAACCTGAATAAATCAATATTGTCCATTTTAAATGTACTGAGGGCTATTGTGGCATTTGTTCGTTCTGGTATGGCTATGTACAGTGGAGAATTATTAGTTTTAGTTAGAAGTCCTTGTTAAAATGAAGTCGTCTTCCCTATCCTATCCCCCCGTCAGTAAAAGCAATCCGCTAGTGAAACTATAGATCCTGTGGGAGGCAAACTTTCATAAGGATAGCAGCCGGTAACTTTACTCTCCAATAAGCTTTCACCATTAGGCTCACAAGAGAAAAAGCTTGTTTTTCAACAAAGAACAAGAACATAAGAATGACTATACTAGGTCAGACCAAAGGTCTGTCTAGCCCAATATCCTGTCTTCCAACAGTGGCCAATGCTAAGTGCCTCAGAGGGAATGAACAGGATAGGAAATCATCAAGTGATCCATCTCCTGTTGCCCATTGCCAACTTCTGGCAAACAGAGGCTAGGGACACCATCTCTGCCAATCCTGGCTATTAGCTATTGATGGACCTATCCTCTATGAATTTATCTAGGGTTTTTGGAAACTTGTTATAGTCTTGGCCTTCACAACATCCTCTGGCAAAGAGTTCCACAGGTTGACTGTGTGTTGTGTGAAGAACTCCTTCCTTTTGTTTGTTTTAAACTGGCTGCCTATTAATTTCATTTGGTGACCCCTAGTTCTTGTGTTATGAGGAGTAAATAACACTTCTTTATTTACTTTCTCCACACCAGTCATGATTTTATAGGCCTCTATCATATCTCCCCTTAGTAATCTCTTTTCCAAGCTGAAAAATCCCAGTCTTATTAATCTCTCCTCATTTGGCAGCCATTCCATACCCCTAATAATTTGTTGCTCTTTTCTGAACCTTTTCTAATTCCAATATATCTTTTTTGAGATGGGGCGACCATATCTGCATGCAGTATTCAACATGTGGGCTTACCGTGATTTATATAGAGGCAATATAATATTTTTCTGTCTTATCATCTATCCCTTTCTGAATGATTCCCAACATTCTGTTCGCTTTTTTGACTGCTGCTGCACATTGAGTGGATGTTTTCAGAGAACTATCCACAATGACTCCAAGATCTCTTTCTTGAGTGGTAACAGCTAATTTAGACCCCATCATTTTATATATTTAGTTAGGGTTATGTTTTCCTATGTGCATTACTTTGCATTCATCAACATTGAATTTCATCTGCCATTTTGTTGCCCAATCACTCAGTTTTGTGTAGCAATTCGCAGTCTGCTTTGGATTTAACTATCTTGAGTAGTTTTATATCTGCAAATTTTGCCACCTCGTTGTTTACCCTTTTTTCCCAGATCATTTATGAATATGTTGAATAGAACTGGCCCCAGTACAGATGCCTGGGGGACACAAGTATTTACCACTCTCCATTCTGAAAACTGATCATTTATGCCTACCCTCTGTTTCCTGTCTTTTAACCAGTTATTGATCCCAGGAGAGGGCCTTCCCTCTTATCCCATGATAGTTTACTTTGCTTAAGAGCCTTTGGTGAGGGACCTTGTCAAGACTTGTTCACACCCAGTCTGGAGAGACACCACCACTCAGAACTATGTACACAAGATGTATATGTACTGCAGAAGTCCTTCTTTTCCCTAAGTGCACTTTTCATAGTGTCTGGTTCCTCCATCTGGCTGACTGCGCATGCCTTTCTATAGTAGTTTGGGGCCAGTCACTTATCATGCTCCCTTGATGTTATGCTCTTCCAGTCTACAGTGTATAACGGGTTGGCAACCTTTCAGAAGTGGTATGCCGAGTCTTCATTTATTCACTCTAATTTAAGGTTTTGTGTGCCAGTAATACATTTTAACGTTTTTAGAAGGTCTCTGTCTATAATATATGACTGAACTATTGTTCTATGTAAAGTAAATAAGGTTTTAAAAATGTTTAAGAAGCTTCATTTAAAATTAAATTCAAATGCCGAGCCCCCTGGACCGGTGGCCAGGACCTGGGCAATGTGAGTGCCACTGAAAATCTGCTCGCGTGCCATAGGTTGCCTACCCCTGGTGTATAACCAGTAGTATCCATTCTGTTGTGTTTAAACCAGTCTGAGACTTCAGCACACTAGTTGCTTGGTTCTCCCTCAGACACTCAATATTTCAAATATTGTCTTTCTGAGACTCAATCAGATAAGCTGAAAAAGCACTGCAAATATATTTCCATGAATAAACTGAGTTTTTAAAACATTCTTCATCCACCCCCTTATTGTTTGCATCCCTTTTGCATTCACTTTCCACAAACAGCCAAGACATTTTAGTTTTACTGGCATGAATGTGCTGTGGAAAGTGAACTTCAGAGTCTTATGTTCACTTACAGCAACTGAAGTTAAAATTTACCCATGAATGTTTGTACAGGGAGTGCTAGAACTATCACCCAGTTAGGGAACAGAAACAATACAGTGTAACTTCTCACCGATTGCAACTAACCAACACATCTACAATAGTGAATATCAAAGACTCTCAAAACTATTTGCAATCAATCTGTACATTTTTTAAAAGTATCTAATGTTTTCAGAAAACTGATACATTATAGAAAATCGTAATTTACAAGCAATTATTCCATTATCAAAAAAGTTCATTTGTTCAGTTATTCACTGCAAATTACTCATTCAGTTTTACTCATTGTACTTTGCCTGAGCATCTAAGCATATCACTATCATATGCTTTATCCTGAATGATGATAGTCTGGTACAGAGTAATTAATGTATCTCGTATAACCCAAATTAGAGTCCAGGTAACTTGTCTCACTGACAGACTTCTGGCCTCAGACTGTAGTCTCGCCACCTTAAGATTTTACACATTATCACAATATCCTTCCCCTTAGTTAAGGCACTTTCTAGATCACCTACCCATATTGCTCATAACATCTTGGATCTGTGGTGATCTATACTTGGAGGATTGACAGCTCTTCCTGCATAAAAAACTCTGGTTTCTTCCAGAGTCTGACTGTTAACTCCCAATCTTAAAATGTCCTTCTTTCTAAATATACTCTTCATAGACCCACCAATACCTTTTGTCTCAATTCTGAGGACTTTCCCTTGGGGGACAGTTCTTGTTTTTAATCTCTGTAATAGGAGTTCAGAAATTCCTGGCTATGGTTGAGACTAGCACTAGCCTATGTACATTGTTTCTTTAACACTGGCTGTTCCATATGATAGCTTCTAAAAATCACTGTCGTCTTTGAGTGATTGTTGTATTCCACTGTGGTTTACACACGTGCATCAGGCACCCAAAGCCGGAGAATTTGCAAGTAATGTCCATTGGGTCTCACATGCACCCTGGCTCACCTCGTGTCTCCGTCCAAGGGGATAAAGGGTGGGGCAGACCGACTGTCTCTCCTGTTACTTCTCACCACCTCGTGGTCTGCGTTGGAACCTCCAGTGTCTGTAGCTTCAGCTTCGTCCTAAAAAATAAGAATTAGATTTAGCTTTGTAAATAGTTTTAACAATTTTTACAGTTTATGATAGTTTGCATCCCTTCCTCTAAACCCTCCTCAGTACTGCGTCTGGGGGCCACTGTCATGAGAATATTCTTAAACAAGAGAGGGACTCCCTATTGGGGCGAGAAGCGATAGAACACGTCCCTCCTCAATACCAAGGGAGCAGGTTTTACTCAACTTACTTCCTGGTACCCTAAAAAAGGGTGGTTGGAGACAATCCTTGACCACTGCCATTTCGATCACATCATTTGCAAACTCAGATTTCACATGGTCATGT